CCCTAGAAATGTCAGTACGCCATAATAAAAAAGGCAATATGGACATGATATACCTGTATATGGGCTCAGAAGTTCAGACAATGTATAAGACAGGACATTCAAGGTTTCTTCCATGCTCACTGTACTCTTCTGAGGTGTTCTTAGCTGACCATCCCACATCTGCAGACATATAATGGCGTTTTTGACTGGTTATGAGACAGTCTAGCATGAGAACTTTACCTAGTAGGGGGTGCTGACGGGGCACTGATGGGATAATCCCATCAGATCCTCTCTCCCAGAGTTTACAAGAAAAGATTGGTTATGTTAACAATGGGTGCTGACTGCAGAACAGACATAAGCTACTGAGGGGAACATTTATTAGAATTATTAATAACCCAGATCTTTTGTCAGACTGCTACAGCAATGTTTTTGCAGTTAGCAAAATGGTGTACCACCTCTGTGACACTTGTGTGGTTAGCAAAATGGTGAACCACACTCTGTGCTTCTCCACATATCTTTATAATAAATCCTTTTCAGCAGAGGTGACCTGAGTATATCTAGGTTCCTAAGAATATAGAAGTATTTGGGTGCATATTTCAGCCCTGCTACTTAGTAGTTTTCTCATATACAAAATGGGAGGTGTGAGAATTGAGTTAATACATGCAAAACATTTAGACTAGTGTTTGGCACATAGTAAGTGTTCAAAAATTGTCACCTATTCAAGTAACAGCCTCTGATCCTGTTTTTTTATCTGTAAATGGAATTATACTCACCTCCTGAGGTATTGGGGAGGATTAAATGAAGTAACACAGATAAAATAGTGCTTCGCTATATATCTGGTACTTCACATATGTTGACTATCATTTTCCTTCTCTTAAAAACAAAATCTTTAAATATTTTTAATTATGAAACACTCATCTGGGAAGTACAGTAAAAATAACTTTGAGTTTGTGCACTGTAGGTGCTGCATACATAGATATTATGAAAAGTTCCCACTTCAATGAGTGTTGCCACTGTGAACCTCTCTCTCACCCTCTACCCTCATATTCCCAGGCTCAGAAGAATTGGGGTGGCTCAGGTATGACTTTACATGGATAACACAAATTTTTCTGTAGGTCCAGGCCTTCCTGGTGAGTTAAAAGGAAGTAAGATAATGTCTGGTCTCTTACCAGTGGGATGATGTCACTATCCTCATCCTAGCTAAGCAATGCTCATTCTTTAAGAGACTTACAATAAGTGCCACACATAGAAATAAAGAAAATATAGCTTCAGATTCAAAATTATTTATTCTGTCATTGGGCATTTCCACTTGTAGGGTCTAAAAAAAAAAGCATATTGAGCTAGTAAATCTCAATAGATTATAACAATTAGAAGTTTTTCTTTTCCCCCTCATTACCTAGAAAAGCATCCTCCTTCAGTACTCTCTCCTTTTCATTTAACCCCAGATTGGTTCTTAGATTTTATGTTTGATTAAATCTAAAGAATAGTCAAAATTCTATAGAGAAAACCCTTGTTAATTATTCCTTCAGCATCCAAGCCCCTTTAAGTGGCAAAATCACCATGCTATGTTTTTTAAATTTTTTTTATCTTTTCCTCACAATTATTTCATGTCATTTTGATAAATTAAAAGCTAAACGTGTCAAGTTTCAGCATGATCAAGTTTGAACAAGATTTCTAAGAAATAGTTACGTAGAGTTCATTTTATGAATGTTCATTTGGAATATGGGACCTAACTTTAATGACCAAGCAACATATTGATATTTTTTCCCTTAGAAAATTTAAGAACATAAAACAGTCCAGGTAATACATTTTACAGGAATAAATGTCCCTTTAACATTCAATTTGGACTTTTTAAACTGAAGTTGGAAGGCTTTCAGCTGTCTGGTAGACAAAATGGATTAGCGATTAATACATAAACCACTTATTAAGTACCATGGGCACTTTAGTCATTTATTTGTAGCAAGGTACTTTCAACAACTTTATACCTGCTACTACAGTAAGGAAGCAGTATATTTTAAATAATATAGGCAATAACAACAGACAGATTTCATTTTGGAAATTTCAGCTGAATTATTTTACCAATAAATCTTCCTGCTTGGTGGAATTTTCCAGTGTGGAAAATGAAAAGCTTGAGTATACATACAACTTAGTTAACTTTGTAACAAATTGATTCTATTTGTTAACTTGTGGAAAAACTGCTGTGATTTTCAGAAGGAAAGTCTTATTTTTCTGACAGTTCACAATGAGGAAAAAAGAACCAATCCTAACCTGGAAACATTCTGCTAAATACCTGTTTGCCTCTGGAGGAACTATCTTCAGTCAATAATTTTATTAGTAGTTTTCATCGTCTATCTCAGCAAAAAAATTAGCACATGATACAATTCAAATAGCATTATGGATGAGGATTAAGACAAGGTATGATATAGTGGGATGAGCACTAGATTTGAAATGAGGCACATAGTTGTGATCAAATCCCAGCTGTTTCTTAGATGTAAGAATCCATGCCATCTACTTAAATTGTCAGCCTATTTCCTGTTCTCTAAAAATCAAAATAACAATAACCACCCCTTGCACACAGGAATCTTTTGATGATTAAATAAACCATAATATATCCAAGTACCCAGATCATTTCCTAACACAAATAGGTACTCAATAAATGTGGTGGATCCAAATCTCTCTGTTGTTCACTCTCCTCTTCTGTAAAATGGGAGGTGGGGTTTTAAACTAGATGTTCTCTGTGTCTTCAAAGAAAAATAAAATGCAAAGGTCCACAACACCATAAGACTGCATTTAGAATTCTTTCGGGGGTAATGGTAGTGAGTTTTGGAGTAACAGCGGTGTTTCACTATTTCAGTGCATTCTCTCTATTCTTTCCTATTACCTTTTGGGGTGATGCAACCAACGTACTCTAAAAAAGTCTATAGAAAGAGGAAATAAGGCCCAGAAAAGGGTAAAGCATTATCCAAGATAGAAGTAGTATCAGAGCTAGATCTATACCTTACATGAAATCGCTGTAAGTCAGATCCAGGGCTTTTCCCTCTACAGTCTACACAAGAGCCAATTTAGACTTTATTTTGAAGCTGTTATCTACTAGCTTCATTCAATCTGTAGAAAATTAGGCTGAGTTTTTTGTTTCTGTTTTCTTTGCATCCTAGAAATCTTAGGTTCTTACTTTATCCATTGATAGCTAGTAGCCTTACATTTCTGTTCAGATAGTCCAGACAGTCCTTTCCTTTAACTTTCTAAACTATAAAGAAAGCAAACTCGATCTCTGATCATAATTTACTTGTTCTATCTCCTACTCTTGTTTACTCTCTGTAGCAGCAATTGGCAATAAATTAGTCAGGCAAAATAATCCAGCCCATGAAGTTTACGTAAAATGGTTCACAGAAAGGTGGAAGATTTTAGGTGTCTAAGCATATGAGTAAGGAAGTAGTTTCTGTCAGCCGCATTGTCTAAAGGATGAAGGTATAGACAAATTTTTCTGAGCATCTGGCTTTATATATTCAAGTAAACGACACGATCAAATACATAAGAAAAAAATCAGGAGAAAATAAGATTGATGGGGAACTAAAGCTGAAAGTAAATGAAAGCTGCTATGATGTCTACTTTTCATGATAGTATAGTCTGACATGTATTACTTTTCAATTATTAAATAAATTATCAAATTAGAAATGTAATTAAACTAAAAACATAAGAGTTCACAGGTTGTGGTGCTATTGCTTTAAGAACAAATTCTAAGAAAGGGATTTTTTTGTTACATTTGTAAGATAATAGGTGAATCTAAAAGTAAAACATCATGTCTACCAATGTTTTTTAAAAGACAAGTATGATAGGACTATAAACTAAAAGCATGAGCAGTTATCTTTATATCAAAATCATGCACATTTAAGTAAGTGGTATACACAATTTAACTATTTTTATTAAAGTCAAAAGAACAGAAACTACACAATTTCTAACAATGGAAAATAAGAAAACTATATTTCATAGATACTTTAGTCTGTCAGTATCTCTTCTATGGCTCCCCAGGATGTTAAAAAAAAAAAAAAAAAAAAAAACTTACCCTTTAAGTAGAAAGGACAAAGCATCATTTATAAACAAAATAGAAGATTCCTGCATGGAGGTCACAATCATTCAGTAATCATATTTAAATAGTAATCATATTTAAAGCAAACATATTTAAATAGGTTTAACCCAAATTTATAAAAAGTGCATTTTCTCATTTTATTATCCAGTGAATATAGTCTTTACTCATACATGTTCTCATACATGGTAGGAAACATCATACATGAATAATGAACACTTAGCAAAGAAGTCTCTCCATAACTGCACTTTGAAGGCCTTCATGACTTACAATGGAAAGATTTTCTAAACAGATCTGCTCTTCAATAGAACTTCAGAAAATACTGGAATTAGTTCACAGAGCAATCTTGCATTAAGAAAAAACATCCTACTTACTTAACCTAGATTAGTAGTATACTTGCTAAAATAAAACTTGGTCACTTCTCCACATTTGAGAATGTTATATAAGAAAACTGCACACTCATGCTAGGTAAAATATATGTATTCCTGGGGAGATGACAAGTAGTACAACTGGTCATATTTTTTTTAACACAAGGATCCTGACTGTCCAGAGTTTGTTCTTCTTTATAACCTTATAACTTTTGTGTCTCCCCCACCAACAACCCCATGTTATGCTTCCAACTTCCATTGAGCTGGATGTAATTCACATGCCTGAGAAAACATTTTAACTTATTTATTGTCCACTTCATTTCTTCCAGTTATTAAAGAGTTGTTTTAAAAGAATGAATAAATTTAACCAGGAATTCTAGTACATGTAACTTGAGTTGGTTCAGTTTTGTTCTTTGTTATTTTGCTGGTTGGATTAAAAACATAGGTTAAGAATCATGGAAATCAATCAACAATCCTATGAAAAAATGTGTATGATAAGTAAATGATAGTAATACCATGTGAATTAACCTCCTTTTAAAATACAAGCTGGGTGTGGTGGCTCAAACTTGTAATCCCAGCAATTTGGGAGGCTGAGGCATGAGGATTGCTTGAGGTCAGTAGTTTGAGACCAGCTTCACCAACATAGTGAGATACTATCTCTACTAAAAATAAAATAAAATACAAATACAGCATGATAAGAGTTGAGTAGAAACAGGAGAATCATTAAAATGTGTTTCACAATTTCACTGGCAGTACGAAAAGTTAAATTTTTATGGGAGTCTTAACAATGATATTTAACAAAGAGAAAATTGTAAAAATGAACAAACCTTAATTTTTTTGGTTTAATGTTGCAGTTTTTTCTAGTTATGTAGGAACATTTTCAATGGAAATATTTTTAATTTAAGGAATTTAAATAGTCATTAAATTACTGGGTGAAAATTTTAATAATAATTTAAAATCTGATAAACACAGATTAAAGTCAACTGCATTTCTGCTTGGATAACAAAAACATAAAACACAAAACAAAAATAACCCATACCCATTGTATGACACTAAATGAGGTGTTTTTGACTATGTAAACATTAAGTAAACATGTTTCCATGCTTTTATTTTTATGTATCACATCTCACTGCAGACAGATTTAAAATTACTTTGAATTTTTAAAACCCTAAAACTTTTATTCTATACTCTCTACTGTATAAAGTACTTTACTCCATAGTACTTTGGTGCTGAATTTTTTATCTAACTTTTGGGGAAGATGGTTAATATACAAGAAGCTAATGCTTAGCTCTGTCAAAAATACATTTCTCACAGTTTTACACATAATATGTATAACTATATATAAAAGCTGTCAAGATGGAAACTCCCTGGAATTTCTTAATGTATTGAAAAGTATAGCAAGGCAAAAGAAAGCATTATATATAAACAGTGTTTAAGCAAAAAAGCATTCTGACGTATATAGTATTTTTAGTTTAAGTGGAGTGCAACTTATCTATACATACAAAGAATGTTTCAGAAGCAAGTGAAGCAAGCAGAAGCAGCAGCTCTTTAAATTATATTCGATCAGAGAGAAGAGCAAATCTCTGTGATAGTTCATCCTGGAGAAAGCAAATTTTACAAGTCACCAAGGCAGTGAAAAATATATAACACTAACATTTTAAATATATTTAAAATCCTGCCTCAAAAATCCACACTAAAACCAACATTGAGTTTAATTTTTTAAACTTTTCAGAAAAAATGAAGACTTTAATAGAGCAGAAGCTATGAAGGGAAGCAAATTCAACCTCCAAATAAAACATGCATGCATTTAGAAAATTCCCATCATTACAGAGCTAAAGGCTGATCACATTTTTCTAATTTATAATATAATATCAAAGTAGAAAAATACTCATTATGAAAGAAAAAGGTGAATATATATTTACTTATGCTTGGTTTATATAAAATGCATAATTTATATACATTATATATACATGTATTTCCTAAATCATTTATATACATATCAAACACATACCAGCAAAGATAAAATCCAACCTCTACCCGTTCCACAGAAGCAACACTTGTGCCAACAGAATCTGTCTGCACTTGTGGTAGCTCCATATTGAGATCAAGGCTACAACTTAAAAATCATTAGCATATGAATGTTAATATAGGCATTGTTCTTCTTTATCTAATATGTATTGTAAATTTGAATGTTCCAGCTTCCATTTTACCTTAGTTTACATAAAAATAAAACAGGTTCAATTTTATAAATATAAATTGAGCTTAAATATCTTCTGAATGTCCACCTTAAGACAATGAATTCACTAATTACAAAGTATTATTGTTGAGCCCTAAAAGTGACCCATGTGGATGGTAATTTTATGATATAAAAGATAATAACACTGGGAAATGATCTGGTCTTCAGAACAAAAGACCAAACTAATGGTTATCCAATATATTAGATTTACTGAAGATTACTCTGTTTCCTACTGTGAAGGAAAATTAATATGCTAAAAAAGATAAAACAGGCTAGATAACTCTAGCCTTAGGATCCATACCTAATATTTGAGTTAACTTCAATTTCAGTTTTTAGCTCCTGAGCTACCATTAGCAGGAATCATTATTTGCATTCAACCATACAACTGAGTTTCAGAAAAGTTAAGTACACTTGTCTGAGATCACTCCAGTGATAGACATAGGATTTTTATCTAGGTTTAACTGTCTACGAAGCCTACAATTTTAATCTCTACTGTACCACTCCTCTAGTGCATAAATTATCCTTTCTGTTTGTCTCTAAACCAGTGGAGCGTATGCCAACTCCAGCATGAAAATACTACAGGAATATAATGGCATTAATAGTCATTATGATACTCTTTTTTTTTTTTTTTTTTCTTTTTAAGACAGAATCTCACTCTGTCACCCAAGCTGGAGTGCAGTGGCATGTACTTGGCTCACTGCAACCTCCACCTCCTGGGTTCAAGTGATTCTCCTGTCTCAGCCTCCTGAGTAGTTGGGATTACAGGTGCGCACCACACCTGGCTAATTTTTATATTTTTAGTATAGATGGGGTTTTGCCATGTTGGCCAGGCTGGTCTTGAACTCCTGACCTCAGGTGATCCACCTGCCTTGGCCTCCCAAAGTGCTGGGATTACAGGCATGAGCCACTGTGTCCAACCCATTATGAGATCTGTAGACAGATTTTTATTGAAAAAGTAAAGATATAAAATTTAGTTGGGGGAATTACTAACTCAATCAGTAACTGGATACTTAAACATTTTTAAGGATGGGCATTGGTGTTTCAACATTAGTGGTTATACGTGTTTCTACTGCTGGTCGGCACACATTGACATTTTTAGTCTCTTGATTTTGGCCCCTACTACCCCAAGGAACATCTGGAAATGTATTGAGACATGTTTGGCTGTCACAACTGTAGAAAGGGGTGCTATTGGTATCTAGTGGGTAGAGGCCAGAAATGCTGCTAAACATTCTACAATGCACATGACAGCCCCCAGGATTATCCATCTCAAAATGTCAATAGTGTCGAGGTTATGAAATCCTGCTCTAAACCTTATAAAAAAGTTGCCTACTGATTTCATTTCCCGCTGAGGGTCAATAAGGCTATAATGTGGTAGCATTCATTTTATAAGACTTCCCTTGCTGTATTTTCAAGCCAAATCATCTAATTTAGTCCTTAGCAGAAACAGACACAAGTGCTTAGTCTCTTATAAAGACAATGTTTTGAAGATAACAAAAACCACCTTTCTTGTTCCCCTGCGTATGCGGGCTACTCTTGGATACTAACAAAACAAAGTAGTGTACAACTTACACCACAGCCCTGTTCCCGAATATTACAAAACTGATTTTTAATTTATCAATCTTGATTTTAATTCTCTAGTAATATATTAGTGATCTAAAGAGTCAATAAACTTAACTATTATTCTAATCAGGTATTAGCTTAGATAGGAGAGTAGTATTCATCAACTTTATTTTCCAGATGTCTTCAAATCTTCTCTTCCAAGGAGAGAAGAACAAAATAAGACTAAGCCTCACTTCAAACTAGTACTCTATGTTTGAAAATAAATTATAAAACATTAGCATCAATTTTTATTCTTTACTATTACATTATCTTGAACTAAACATTACATCAGAGAATAATGGTACAACATGACTTCTATAGTAAAGATATTATAGATAAGTCATTATTCCAAGACATGAAGGGCCTGAAATAAACAGCTTGTATTACACATCCTATTTCCAATAGCAGTACCACAAAAGGATATGAATTATTTACTTAAAAGAAAAACCAAATTATTATATGTAATATTGCTATCTTTTGAACCCCTTGGACATTTTGCACATATTGCTTAGTTTGCAGTACTCAAACTAGACTTATGACTCAATGGCCTGATCATAGCAGAATTATTTTGGAAGTTCCTTTTTTTTTTAAAAAAAAGCTATATATTTCATATATGCTGCACACAGTAAGTATTATGCAAATGTTCAAACACTCCTGCTTCCTTTGATCATCTTTGTCAATTTCTTTTCACACTCTAAATGAGTCTATCTCCAGAGATTTTTAAGAAAATGCAAAGATGATTGAAACAAAGTCAGATTTTCATAAGCATGGCAAGGAATTGAATAACTGTTTAAGTCCTTTGAAACACTGAATTCTAGGGTCAAAAATCTAACTCTAACAATTCATGGTAAAGAGAAATATTTTCATCTGTATCACAGAATTTTAGAACCTCTAGATATTACATCAAAATTTTCCAAAATCACCTGGATAACTTCTTACCTAGCTTAATCTGCCATTTCCTGAAGCACCATTTCCATTTGGTTCTTGAATAAGAAAATGAAGATTTCTATTTTAATAGCATTTGCTTTTAGCATGGTTTTTGGTTTTGTTATAGAAGAGAGAAACTGGACTCTAATTTTTTAAAAGAAAGCATTTAAAAAATATTTTGTACCACCAAAGGGAGCTGCATAATTTCAGAATATAAATTTTTTTCTGAATAATACTAAATTCTAATGCCTGAAATGATGAGGTTATGGAAAAATATTAGCAGTGAGAGTCACATATGATTTAAATCTGAGTAATATAGATTTCTCCAAGTGAAATTGAACCAATTTATAAAAGCTCCAATCTAACCTACTTTGCTTTTATTGCATATAATAGATTTAATTTTAGAGTAAAATAATCAGAATTGTTCTTTCTGCCAGATGATGTAAATCTGATATTAAGGATGACTTTTTCAAATGTCAAAGATGAATAAAATATATGTCTTCCGATATTTACTAAAGTATAGGCATTCTCAGGGAATAGAGTCTGATTAATAATAAAAAAAACTCTTCTAGTTTTTACTTAAGTTATTAAAAATATTTTTAATATACAAGTGGAAATTCTAAGATGTGGTCCCAGCTCTACTATTAACAATGAGTATGATTTTAAGTAAATCACTAACGTTGCTGTTGGGCCTTAGTTCTTGTTCTCTTTCATTCACTTTTAAAATATTTCCAAAATACTGAAAAAGTTCATGAAATAATAGATTCCTATGTGCATTAACATTTTGATTTTACTTCATATCTAAAATAGCATTATTTGTGCTTCGAAAATTTACTTAAATTGTATTATACAATGATTTTATTCCATAACTTCCTTTCCTCACTCAACCTTGTAAGATTATATTGCTATATCTAAAGATCTAGTTCATTCACTTTAACTACTGTATGATGTTGCAACACAGAAATAGACTCAATTTTATTTATCCATTCTATTTTTGAAATTTAGAGTTTTCTTAATTTCTCTCTATTATAGACAATTATGCAATGAACATTCTCATGTGTATGTGTATATGTGTGCATGTGTGTATATATATAGAGAGAAAGAAATCAATCTATATATATATATATACCTTTGTCTACACATGTAGGGGCTGCTCCATGTATAAATTTGGAAGTAAAAGTACTAGGTTACATACATTTTCATATACTGTGATTTATTCAACAACATTCAAAAGTTCTGAATATCTACTATGTGCCAGATATTTTATGTGCTAGGGAAGCCTCAATGAACAAAGATGATAAAAAATATGCCCTCATTAAGCTTACATTCTAGTGTGTACATGAGAAGGGAGGGCAAATACATTTTTTAAAGAAGTATATGGTATATTAGAAGGCAATATATACAGTGGAGAAAAACAAAGCAGGGAAGGTAGAGAATAGGAGGCATGGTAAGTACAGTGTTGATGTAATTTTAAGTAGGATGGTCAGGAAAGACCTCACTATAAAAATGACTTAAAGATCTAAAGAATGCAAGATAGTAGCAACAAGGATGTCTAGAGAAAGACCATTCAAGGGAGAAGAAACTGCATGTGGAATGGCTTTCAGGCTGAAATACACTTGGTGTGTTTGACAAATAGCAAGAAATCCAGGTGCCTGAATGGACTGATTAGTAGTAACAGGTCAGGACAGATCAGCGTAAGTTAGACCATGTAGAACCTTATGGGCCTTTGGAAACAATCTGGCTTTTATTGAGAAAACTGTTGTACCAGTTGAAAGATTTTAGAGGAACGACATGATGACTTGTGCAACAGGGTTGCTCTTGTTGCTATGTTGAGAACAGACTGTAGATATTACCAAATTACTTTTCCAAAGTGGATGTGCCAATTTGCATTCTAATTACTACTTATTAGCAGGATGTGAGAATTTGGGCAACTGTGTCCAACCAGATTCCTCACCATTTCTGCTGTAAATTTTGGTTAAGTTTTTATGACTAATGTTTTATATATATCTGAATGTCTCCAGCACCTGGCACAATATCTGACAGGAGAACTTGCTCAGTGAATGTCAGGTGAATGAACTGAGAGGCACTTTAGGTATCATCAAATCCAACTGCTACATTTTACAGTTATGAAAACTGAGGCCCCAGGGTAATCAATATTTGAGTCAAGGTCCCAACGTTAATTAGAAGCAGAGTGATGACTAGAAGTCCAAGCCACCAAGATAGCGAAACAGAATCTTATAGGAATCATGCCCCCTGCAGGAACATCAAATTGAACAACTATCCATGCCAAACAAAAACAACAAGCAAACACCTTCACAAGAGCTAAAGAAACAAGGTGAGTTGTCATAGTATCTGGTTTTAGAATAATCACAAGAAAAGAGGCAATGAATAGGGTGGAGAGTCTCGCATTGCCTAAATTATGCTTTCTGCAACCGTAGACAGCACAGAGTGGAGAGACAATCTGTCTGCTTGGGGGAAGGAGAGGGAAGTGTGCATGGGACTTTGCCTTGGAATCAGTACCAGCCTGCCACAGTAAAAAACAGCACCAAGCAGAACTCTAAGGCCCCTCATTCTAGGCTCGTGCCCAAGGATGGAGCTCCTACATCTGTCACAGGCCAGATGGGAATCTGTGGTCCCAACATGATGAACCCAAGTTCCAGCCTGCTTCACCAACAGCTGACAAAAGTAGCCTCCAGCTCCGAATAACTTTCAGTGGCAGGAACGCTGTCACAACTGCAGTCCTTGAGTAAGCCCCGGTGATGCACTGATCTGAGGCTTTTGGTTTGACACAGTGTGACATCCGCTGCATAGGCCACAGACTGTCCTCTTCATCCCTCCCCCAACCTCAGACAGTGTAGCATGAATGAAGACTCTTTCTACTTGGAGAGAAAAGAAGTCGGTAAGGAACTTTGCCCAAAGAATTCTCCCTGAATTTTCCTAAGTCTATTCGGGCTGGAAGCCTCAGTCTTCAAGAGAGTGGCAGCAAACCTAAGCTTAGGGCACCCTCTAGTGCTAAAACTGCTGCAGTGACCACAAGCATACTGAATTCAAAAGTCAGTCATGTTTATTTGAATTCCTGGGAAGCCTTCTGAAGAAGGATGAGGACATACAAAGCCAGACTGCAAAGACTGGAATAAATACATAATTTTTCAATGCGGAGACATCGATGCACATTCCCAAGAATCAAGAATGTTAAGGGCAATGTGATCTCACCAAACAGACTAAAATAACAAGAAACAGCCCTGGAAAGATGGAGATGTGTGCCCTCTCAGACAGAAAACTCAAAACACCTGTTTTGAGTAAGCTTAACAAACTTCACAAAAGCAAAGGGAAGCAATTCAGAAACATATCAGAGAAATTTTACAAAGGGATTGAAATACTAAATCAAACAGTAATCATGGAGCTGAAAAATACAGTGAATGAGATTTAAGAAATGCATTAGTGTCTTATCAGGAGAATTAATCAAGCAAAACAAAGGACCAGTGAGCTTGACAACAGGCTATTTGAAAAAACAGAAAGGAAAAAATGAAAAAGGAATGAAAAATGTTTATGAAATCTAGAAGATAGTATCAAAAGGGCAAATGTATGAGTTATTGGCCTTCAAGAGGGAGTAAAGAAGAAGGGGTAGAAAGCTTCTTCAAAGAAACGAGTAACAGAAAATTTCTAAACCTAGAGAAAGACAAAAATATCCAGATGCAGGCAGGTCAAAGACTACCAAGCTGATTTAACCTAAGTAAGACCACCTGAGACAAAAATAATCAAATTCTCAAAGGTCAAGGGCAAAGAAAGGCTCCCATCAGCAGCAAGACAAAAAGAAGTAAATAGCATACAAAGGCACTCCAATAGGTCTGGTGGCAGACTTAGTAAAAACCTTACAGGCCAAGAGGAAATGGGATGAAATACTCAAAGTACTGAAGAAAAAAAAAAGCCCTGCCAATTGAGACTACTGTATGCAGCAAGTCTATCCTTCAAACACCAAGGAGAGAGAGACTTTCTCAGAAATAGAAAGAGAAAAGACAATCTTCAAATTCATATGGAAATGCAAAAGACCCTGGATAGTCAAAGCAATCATGAGCAAAATGTACCAAGCTGGGGGCATTATGCTACTTAACTTTAAAACATATCACAAAGCTATAGTAAACTAATTGGCATGTTACTGGCATAAAAACAAACACACAGACAAATAAAATAGAATAGAGAAACCAGAAATAAATCCACATGTTCACAGCCAATGTGTGTTTAACAAAGGCACTAAGAATGTACACTGGGGAAAGAACAGTTTCTTCAATAAGTAGAACTGGGAAAACTAGATAACCATATGTAGAAGACTATAACTAGGCTCCTATCTCTTACCATATAGAAATAATAACTCTAAATGTATTAAAGACATAAATGTAAAATCTTAAATTATAAAACTACTAAAATAAAACATAGGCAAAATGCTTCATAAAATTGGATTGGGCAAGGATTTTTTTGAATAAGATACCAAAAGTACAGATGTATTTGTGTGATGGTTATACTGAAAGCTCAGGCATTGCTGATGCTGGATATGCAGCATATCCAGGTAACAAAACTGCACTCATACTCTCAAATATAGTTTTTTAAAAAGCACCATTGGGAGGCTGCAATGGGAGAATGGCCTGAGGCCAGGAGTTCAAGACTAGCCTGGGCAACATAGTGAGAGCCCCATCTCTACAAACAAACAAACAAACAAACAAACAAACAAAAAACTGAAATTGGCTGGGTGTAGTGGGACATTTGTGTAGTTTGAGCTACTTGGGAGATCAAAGCAGTAGGACTGCTTGAGCCCAGGAGTTCGAAGTTACAGCAAGCTATAATCATACAATGCACTCCAGCCTGGGTGACGGAGCAAGACCCTGTCTCAAAAACAAACCAAAAAGCACAGGCAACAAAAGTAAAAATAAATAAATTACACCAAACTAAAAAGCTTCTGCATGGGAAAAAAAATAAATAAGTGAAGAAAATACCTACAGAATGGGAGAACGTAGTTACAAACACCTGAATAGACATTTTTCAAAAGATTTACAAATAGCCAACAGGTATATGAAAAAATGTTCAATAGCAGTAATCATCAGGGAAATGTGAGTTAAAACCACAGTGAAATATCACCTCATTCCAGTGAGAATGGCTCTTATCAAAAAGACAGAAAATAACAATTGCTTGTGAGGATATGGAGAAAGGTGAATTCTTATGCACTGAGGGTGAAAATGTAATTTAGTATAGATATTATGGAAAAGTGTATGTAGTTTCCTCAGAAAATTTAAAAAATAGAACTTCCATATAATCCAGCAATCCCCTTTTTGGGTATATATTCAAGTAAAATGAAATTAGTATGTCAAAGAGATATCTGCAATCCCCAGACAATAGCCACAATATGGAATCAACTTGGTTCATCTAAAGATGAAAAAAAATGTGGTATATCTACATAATAAAATATATTACTCAGCCATAAAACAAAATTAAATCCTATCATTTGCTCAACATGGATAAACCTGCAAGGTATAAGGTTAAGTGAAAGAAACCTGGCACAGAAAGACAAACACTGCATGACCTTACTAACCTGTGGAATTCAAAAAGTTGATTTCACGAAAGTAGAGAGTAGAATAGTGGTTACCAGAGGCTGGGCATGGAAAGGATGTGGTAAAAGGAGGGACTAGCACACGCTTGTCAATGGGTACAGGTTTAGTCTGGCAGAAAGGAAAAGTTCTGGTGTTATACAGTAAGGTGGTTACAACTAATAATACCGTAGTGTATATTTTAAGATAGAAGATTTTGAATGCCATCACCAGAAAGTGATAAACATATAAAATAATGGATATGACAATAATGCTGATTTAATCACTATACAATATATGCATGTACTGACACTGTACTCCATACACATGTACAATTTTGTGTCAATTATATATTTTTTAAAAGATTAAAAAGAAAAAAATAAATCCAAGTGTCCTGACTTCAAGTCACCTTTCAAATGCAGTTGTGTTTTCTAAACTTGACTGATATAAAATCACCTCAGGATGTCCTAAGGTAACTGAATAAGAATTAGAAACTCTAGGAGAGTGCTCCTCAAACTCCATGCCTACAAATCACATCAGAATCTCATTAAAATGAAGATTCTGATTCAATATATCTGGAGGTGGGGCTTTGAAGTTCTATATTAATGAGCTCCGAGGTGGTTAAGAGTGTTCCTGAATCTTGTCCTATACACTTTGAGGAACAAAGCTCTAGGGGAGGGTATAAAGAATGGTTAAATATGTCCTCACTTTAAGATATACACATATATTCTTTCTTCTTAACTCCAAACCCTAACTATAAGGTTATTCTTTCACTGTTTACCTTTTTGTGAAAAGAGCTCTCTGTGGTAAAATGTTGATGGACAGTTGTCGATTCCTTCTTAATGTACTTTGTAAATCATATTTTTTCCATATTAGCATCCAAAGTAGTAGTAACAAGTTCTCCATTCATTGGACTAACCACGTGATAGGTGCTGGGATCAAAGAGAAGAGTGATAATGAAATAAATTTTCTATCTGAATGTATAAATTTTACAAAACTTTGTTTCTAGCATATGTCACATATAAATTAGTTTCAAATTTTAATTTTCTTTGTAGGAGGTCTCTGTCCAGGTTCCAGATTTAGAGAACATCCTATTCTTCTGAAAATTACTTCATCTTGTATTTTCTATTTGGTTCAGGTCTGACTCATGCATACATAAAACACCTAAAGAGCACGTGGACACAGGGAGGGGAGCATCACACGCTTAGGACAGTTGAGGGCAGCTAGGGAAGGGACAGTGGGGGGTGGGGAGGGTGGGGAGGATACTGAGGGAAGAAATACCAGATGTGGGTGATGAAGGGATGAAGGCAGCAAACCACCTTGCCATGTGTGTACCTATGCAACAATCCTACGTGATCTGCACATGTATCCCAGAACCTAAAGTACAATTAACAAAAAAAAAAACACCTAAATATTAGGTAGGCAACATAAGATTATTTTCAATAAGATGAACTAGCTGAGGCATGGGATAATATCAAATACCAACTGGCCTCAGTGAGCCTCTAGTGCAATTGCCTTTATCAATAAGTATCACTGGCAGTCAGATAACACCCAGATCTAGACTCTAGACATGAGATCCAGTATAGTACAATTCCCAGAACTCCAAACCAAGCTAGGGAAAATGCCTCCTCAGAAATCTGGGAAATGAGCAGTAACTTCCTACCATCATTCTGAAGACACGCCATGTTTATTTAGCATTCTAGAGATCATTTAGGCTCACAATACCATTATAATTTGAAGTGGGATAATTTAAAAGAGTTATTCTAGGTAGAGAAGCTGTACTTAATTGCTAGGGTTGTAGAGCTACTCATTGTATCTTCTATTTGCTGTGTTTGAATATCCAGTGTTTCAAACTGGTGTTCAAATTTATCCCTTAAGGCAGTAGTCTGTAAAAATAAATATGGTTATTAGAAAAACTTACACTAAAAAGATGCTATCTGAACATAATATAATTCATTTTTTTTTTTTTTACCTTTTTCCTCAATGAAACATCCATAGACTTAACTATGCCTTACATGGACTTGTTACCTGTTTGGAGGATAAAAGCAAACAGTATTCTATGATATAGGCAGTCTCAAAATTTTTTAGTCTCCTAAATATATTACTTACAAATCAACTTATGAAACTTGTCTACATTTTCTTTAACGGTAAATATACAATGTTATGTATTTATAGTCTAGGCACTGGCTATCTAATTTCTTTGACTTTTCACTTCATTAAAAGACAACTAATTCATAGGTGGGTGTTGAACAATGAGAACACATGGACACAGGGAGGGGAGCACTACAAACTGGGGTCAGTGGGGGGGAAATAGGGGAGGGAGGGTGGAGGGTGGGGAGCTGGGGAGAGATAGCAAGGGGAGAGATGCCAGATGTAGGTGATGGGGAGGAAGGCAGCAAATCACACTGCCACGTGTGTACCTATACATCAATCTTGCATGTTCTTCACATGTACCCCAAAACCTAAAATGCAATAAAATAAATAAATGGAAAAAAAAAAAAAGACAACTAATTCAACCGTTTTGGAAGAGAGTGTGTTGTGATTTCTCAAAGACCTAGAGACAGAAATACCATTTGACTCAGCAATCTCATTACTGGGTATATGCCCAAAGTAATAGAAATCATTCTACTACAAAGACACATGCACCCGTATGTTTACTGCAGCACTATTTCCAATAGCAAAGATATGGAATCAACCTAAATGCTCATCAATGACAGACTGGATAAAAAAAATGTGGTACATACACACCATGGAATACTATGTAGCCATTAAAAAGAATGAGAATGAGACCATGTCCTTGGTAAGGCCATAGACGGAGCTGGAAGCAATTATACTTAGCAAACTAATGCAGAAACAGAAAACCAAATACCACATGCTCTCATTTATAAATGGGAGCAAAATGATGAGAACACAAGGACACACAGAGGGGAACAATGTGCACTGGGACCTACTGGAGGGTGAAGGGTGGGAGGAGGGAGAGGACTAATGGATACTAGGCTTAATACCTGGGTGATGAAATAATCTGTACAACAAAACCCCACGACACACATTTACCTATGAAACAAACCTACACAGCCTGCACATGTATCCTTGAACTTAAAAGTTTTTTTTAAAAAGACAAATCTTAGTTCAAAATTCACTGCCGAGACGATCCAAGATGGCAGTTTAGGAACAGCTCAAGATTGCAGCTCCCAGGGAAAGCACAGAGGGTGAGTGGATGCCACATTTTTATTGCACACAGACTAGGCAATTCCGAGGCGGAGGAGTTCCACGGGTTGCCAGCGAGGCTGTTTCGGCCAGCACGGCTGTGCCGGTCATTGCCGCTGTTTTGCCCCACGCGGCTGCTTTGTTGGCGGCCTGGAGCAGTGGTTGTCCGTACAAAATACACCAGTCCGGGTGCCCTTTTGGCTGGCGACTGGAGCCACGGGAAGTCGTCCATTCATCTGTTTAAAAAGGGGACTGAGCAGGGAACCAGGACAGTAGATTCCAGGGCAAAAAAAGCACCACGATTCTCAGTGCCGCTGTTTAAGCCAGCGCAGCGAGTCGCCGGGAAAAACACAGACCCCGGTGCCTCTTCAACAGGTGACTGGAACACCAACTTAAAAAAAAAAAGAAAGGCTCTGAGGCAGGGAGCCAGGCGATCAGGCTCGGCTGGCCCCACCGTCACAAAAGAACAGCAATCAGAAACTCTCTGGATGGAGAGTTTCACAGCAAGCGCAGCTGAATCCAGCACGGTCCAGCTCTGTTGGGGAGGGGTGTCCGCCATTATCGAGGCAGCCCGCCACTACAGAGGTAGTCAGCCAATGCTGAGGCAGCCTGCCATTGCCAAGGCAACCCCTCATTGCTGAGGCAGCCCGGTGTTGCCAAGGCAACCCGCCACTGCAGAGAGGCTCCGCCCTAACAGAGGCGGGCCACCATTGCCAAGGCAGTTCTAACTACACCCATATAAACAGGACTGCAGGAGCCCACAGCAGCTCAGCAAAGCCTCTACAGGCAGACAGTGACTAGGCTGCCTCCTTGCTGGGCAGGGCAGCGCTGAAGGAAAAAAGAAGAAAGCAGCAGCATAACGGAAACTCATAAAGCCCTAAATCCCTGGGACAGAGCACCTGGGAACAAAAAGCAGTTTATGAGTTCTGCTGCAGCACACCTAAACGTACCTACCCAGCAGCTCTGAATGAAAAACGGAGCTCACAGCTCAGCATTTGAGCTACTATAAAGAAGAGACCGTCTCCTCAAACAGCTCCCTGACCCCTGTATATCCAAAGAGCCACCTCATAAAGGAGAGATCAGATCGACACTTGGCGGGT